TGTGAAGAGTGAAGTCATAGCAAGCCTTGTATGTGGTTTCCAAGGAGCAGTTTCCAACCTTTTCATTAGCAGTCCAGTGCTTAAACTATAGCTGCTTCTTGGAACTCCCATACAGGGTAGCTATGAGTTGGAATCCACTAGATGGCACTTATCAACAATTGTGGATAGATGGTTTTTAAGAGATTCTTCCCACTCTGCTGTCCTTCCAAGAGAAGCCGTGAAACCGATAGGGTGAGGGGGCAGCCTAACTATACCCCCGACTATCAAACAGGGAGAGAAACCCAAGCATCCTTTCCTTCTCAGAACACTGTTCCTGGAAAATGAACAGGAATATTACTTCCAGGCTTGGCTGCAGCTTCTATTAAGCTGATCCAATTTGCAGCCTCTCCAACTGGGCTCAATATCCAGAGGTGAGGAGAGGGCTTCTTTGAAGAATCAATGTCAGATGCTGGGAACTTCCCAATCTTTGGCCCTTGGGCAAAACATATATACTTTAAATGACAAAACCCCCAAGAAAGTTCATTAGAACATCTGGGCACCTTATCAGGGATTTATCAAGCTCTCCAGAATTGATTCAAGCACTGTTTTAATGAAAATCGGCTGTCAATGAAGAATTTATGCCAAGGATTCTTTTTCCTCCTCTTCTCTTGCTTCCTCCCCTTCCCCTCTTCTCTTCTTCTTCTCTTCATCCTCCGGGTCCCCTTTTCCTCCCCCACCTTCTCCTTACTCTTAGTTTCTTTCTGTCTCAGACTTTTATCCCTGCAAAGGCTCATAGTAAGATAGAGAGCAATGCTCAGATTTCCAGACCTGCTATACACACTGTGATTATCAAGCGTTTGTGTTCAGGTTAAGCACTCTATGTCAAAATAAGTAGCGTGGGTATCCATCATCACAGCTTGAACTGGGGAATTAAATGAGGCTGGATTAACCTCAACTTTAGCAACTGGGTCCTTTGGTCAAAACAACATAACCCGCCAATGTTAATTTGTATAAATCAGAAAGCTCTTCATATGCTTTAGTGATTTTTAAGCTGGTCATTTAATACCAGTCATAGATTTCAACGAGCTGCACTTGTGCTTTGAGGGGACTTAGCCTAAGGAGTTGCAGTTATAAATTTAAAATAAATAGCTGTATTCCAACAGAGTACTGCCCATCCCTGCTAATCAACAACTTTTACTTAAAGCCTCAGGATGGGGAGTGGGGGAGCAATTCTCTTTGAACGCCTCCTTTATTTCTCCACTCTGCTCTGATTGATTTGATATGTGTTGTTTTAAGATTCCTTCATTTTCAGGCATAAATTAACTACCAGTGGCAGCCAATGAGATAAAGAAAGAGGGGGATACAGTTGAATGTTAAGTCAAGGACAACAGGACATCAGGACCTAAAAATGCTCAAGGGTCTAAAACTAAAAACTCAAAAGCTCCAGTTATCTGAATAATGTGAAAGGTACCAAGGCCTGGAAACAGAAATCAAAGTCCAAGGACATTAAAAGTCAACTAATTAAATAAATAAAACATAGAGCATCATATTTGAGGATGTGCATTGAGTGTGGCACTGTGGGTTAATGCATCAGACTGCAAAGCGTTTTGAACTACAAGTTTGGCAGTTCAAGCTCACCAGCTGCTCCTCAGAAACTCTATACAGGGTCGCTATGGGTCAGAACTGACTCAACGGCACTTAACAACAACAACAACAACAATTGAGTCTAAAAGATAAGGCAAAGAGTAAAGTCTAAAAGATACCTAGATTGTACAAAGAGCTAGTCAATGAAGAGAAACAGTGGGGTTCAATGTATCCATCTTCACATTGCCAACATATTTAAATTTCAAAGGCACAGGTATGGGTTGACCAATATACATATGTGTATTTTATTTTTGTTTACAATTATATTTGAAATATCATGAAACACAACCTAATATTTTTTAAAATATTAAACACCATAGCATTTGGAATTTTTTATTTATGATTTCTAACTTAAAGAAGGACTGAGTATTTATCTTCAGCTACAACTATGGGACCAGACTCTATTTCCCCTTATTTGAAAACTGAGCACATGGTGTCCTGTTGCAACAACAAAATCTGCTATTTGGGTCCATAGAGAAAGCCTAAGAGACCCCAAGTTCTCAGTTTTGGTGGTCTTCCACCCCCCACAACTGGCATAGGAGCTATATTTAGGTTGGTTATTGACCAGAGTATGCGATGGGATCATGTTTACACAACATGATTTGGGTTTAAGGTCTGTCCTAGGCTGGGTTCTCTAGAGAAGCAACACCAGTAAAGCTTATATCTGTATCTGTATAAGGTGGAGGGTCAGAGAAAAAAAGGAAGACCCCCAATGAGATGGATTGGCCAAGTGGCAGCATTGATGGACTCAAGTGTGGCAGCAGTAGTGAGGCTGGCCCAGGACTGGGCAGTGTTTTGTCCTGCTGTGCATAAGGCCTCAATGGGTCGGTACCGACTTGATGGCACCTAACAACAACAACAACAACATCTATATTTGTTTGTCTATCTATCTATCTATCTATCTATCTATCTATCTATCTATCTATCTATCTATCTATCGAGAGATAGAGAGAGAGAGAGCTTTGTCGCAAGGAAGTAGGTCATGGGATTGTACAGGCTGTTGAGTCCCAAGTCCATGGATCAGATGTCAGCATGGAGGCTTCTCCTGGCTCATATAGCTCAGGAGCTGATGACCTCAAGATCAGCAGGACAGATAGCAGGCTGCCAGCTCACAGGCTGAACAACAATAAAGTACTTGGTTCAGTACCAAGAACCAAAGGTCAGATGATGATGAGTCAGAAAGGCAGGATCCAGAGCAAAAAACAAAGTGAAAAACAAAGAGAGCTTCTCAGAATGTCCATAAATATTGGATGCCCATCAAATATCTGAGCAAATTCCCTTTCAACTGATGAATTATTCATAGCAGACCTCATCATGGAAGTGATTACATTGTATCAGATCATAACACGGGAAACACTGTCATTACATAACTGCTAAACTACATCATGGACTCCTGGTGTGGCACTGTAAGATCAGCACTAGACTGTGAACTACAAAGTTGTCAGTTCAAACCCACCAGCTACTACTCGGAAACCCTGCACAGGGTTGCTACGAAGCAGAACAACTCAACGGCACTTAACAACAACTACCTACCTCATAACTGCCAAACCACTAAGCATCATCATGACTCAATCAAGTTTGCACACAACCTTAAACACACACACAAGGTCTCATTGTCCACATGCAACAGAGAGTATCTGGACTTACGTTTGAAGATGAATTACATACAAAACCTAAATAAATGACTCTCTGCTAGCTTCCTGTTTCTTTCGTATCTCATTCTTGATGTTCACATACACTAGTCATTTACCTGGAGGTCTGTGCGCCATCTCCTCTGGCAGATGCCAGGATGTTAAGGGCAGAGACTGCACATAGGCAAGGCCATGCACTTCTAAGCTAACCCTAAGTAACCAGGGGGTGATTCAGATGAGTTATTTTAAATACTGTTTCCCCTTAAAGCCCTAGAATAGGAGAGGACATTTCTTCTTAGTCAAAAGAAGCATCGAGGCTAAGTCTAAGGGCAACCTCTACTCCTCACTTGTTAGGTTTTCCTAAAGGGAATGGAATTTCCACATTTCTCTAAAGAGGAACATGTGGGAGGACTGTTAAAGCTTCACTCAATTCTCCCCAAAGAATGGGGGTGCTTTTATACTTGGTTCCTTTTGAGAAAGGAATACAGGAAGGCAAGTTGCTGCCTTTTCTGAATTCTCCATCTCTAGAGGAGCCTGGTGGCATCCTGTGTGGTCTCTTTATCCTGAGATCTGGAGCTGAGCCTGACATTGACAGGGAACCTACCTATTTTAATGTGTAGCTATTTTAAAAGTCCTTGTGGCTACTGGTCCAACAGTGCTGATAGTTTTTTTTTCGTTTCTATCTTTCTGCCTCCATGTATTAACTTATAATTACATCCAAACTCCAATGAAAGATGAAGACCAGGACCCTAAATGCAAAGAAACATAATATATGTTCAAGGAATAATTTGTCCCCTTGTCTGGCGGAAGAAGAGTTCATGTTCAAGGTCCAAAGACTACCCACATTTTCCTCCAACCTGAGCAGCCGTTCACCCTCTCTTGTGTTTAGTGCTTCTCAGTGGCATTGTATCGACACTTACAACATCCCTGTCTCTAACTGTGTAACTGCTATTTGCCAAATGCTTTGATTCTCTGTCTACATTATTAAACTTATTTTGTTTTCACATATAATACATATATATTTTTTCAGTAAAAATCCCAAGTGATATGAAGTTAACATTCCACCCACACTGTCCCACACTCCCAAATCCTCTGGGAAGTAGTGTCGCCAATTCCTGATAGCCAACCACAGGGTCTCTGTTGTGATGTGGTACACCTCCCTGAACCCAACACTCACTGCTCCTGTTCTAGATTGAGCTTTCTTCAAGGCCAGCATTCCTACACTAGGGGGGTTGAACTTTCAGGTATCTTTAAACTTAGCAAAAGTTGGCTGGTTCAACTATGAATTTAACAGTGAAATATGTTGCATCGTTGTAGTGCAATGAATCAAAGTGAGGTTCTGGGAAACTATAAGATGAACAACAGCATTTCTTCAACAATAAAATTCTTGGGAATAAAGAGAGAGGGGGATGGGGCCTACAGATTAAAAGAAAAGAGACAATGGAAGAGCTCCATATCATCAGTGAAAACAAGGACAGGGGTAGACTGTGGAACAGACTGTCAATGGCTCATATGCAAATTCAAACTGAAGTTGAAGAAAATGAAAACAAGTCCACAAGAGCCAAAATATGACCTTGAATATATCCCACCTGAATTCAGAGATCATCTGAAGAATAGATTTGATACATTAAACACTAAAGACCGAAGATCAGAAGAGTTGTGGGATAACATCAAGAACAACATACAGTCATCTTTCCATCTCTCAGTCAGTCGCGGCCCGGAGACGCTTCTGGAAGAACCATCGCGATGGCCGCCCAAGGAGAACCCCAAGTGCAGTTCAAACTCGTATTGGTGGGTGATGGCGGTACTGGAAAAACGACATTTGTGAAACGTCATCTGACTGGTGAATTTGAGAAGTATGTAGCCACCTTGGGAGTTGAGGTCCATCCCCTTGTGTTCCACACTAACAGAGGACCGATTAAATTCAATGTGTGGGACACGGCTGGTCAGGAGAAATTTGGGGGGCTTAGAGATGGCTATTATATCCAAGCCCAGTGTGCCATTATAATGTTTGATGTAACCTCAAGAGTTACTTATAAGAATGTGCCTAACTGGCATAGGGATCTGGTTCGAGTATGTGAAAACATCCCCATTGTCTTGTGTGGTAACAAAGTGGACATTAAGGACAGGAAAGTTAAAGCAAAATCCATCGTCTTTCACCGAAAGAAGAATCTTCAGTACTATGACATTTCCACTGTCCAGCTTTCGCATCCATATGAGGCTATTGAAAACACAATGGCCTGGGTCAGGCGCACCCTAGTCCTCAAGCTGACATCTCTGCTCTTCAACACTTTAAAAAGTTCCTGTGCAGCAGATTTGCCCAGTGCAATACGTCGTCTGATCTCTTGACTACTGCTTCCATGAGTGTTGATAGTTGATCCAAGAAGAATGAAGTCCTTGACAACTTCAATCTTTTTTCCATTGATAAGAATGTTGTTTATTGGTCCAGTGGTGAGGAATTTTGTTTTACTTACATTGAGATGTAATCCATACCAAAGGCTGTGCTCTTTGATGTGGGTTAATGCACTGGACTGAAAAGTCGGTTTGAACAGCAAAGTTGGTGGTTCAAGCTCACCAGCCAGTCCTAGAAACCCTATACAGGGTTGCTATGGGTCAGAACCAACTTGAGAGCACTTAACCACAATCTACCTATCTATCTAATTTATCTATCTATCTATCTACCTATCTAGCCATCCATCTACCTATCTATCCATCCATCTATCCAATATGTATATATTATTGTTGTTAAGTGCCATTGAGTTGGTTACAAGGCAGTATAGCGTTTTTGAGGAGTGGATGGTGAGCTTCAACTGCCAACCCTGTGGTTCAAACCAACTTTGCAGTCCGTGTATTAACCCACAGCACCTACTTGTCTATCTCTATCTATCTATCTATCTATCTATCTATCTATCTATCTATCTATCTATCTATCTATCTATCTATCTATCTAATCTATCTATCTACCTGTCTATATGCCTATCTAGCCATCCATCAACCCATCCACTCACTCATCTATCTATCAATCAATCTATCTATTGATCGATCTTTCAACCCATCAACCTACCCACCTGTCTGTCAGCCTATCTATCTGTATATCTAGTCATCTATCTATCCATCCATCTATTGATCTACTCACCTAGCTATCTAGCTAAAGAGACCATTTGAGATGTGAATGATGACTGGCTCTAGAACCGTAAATCTTTTTGACCAGTTAGCATGGATTTATACATTTTTAAGTGTCTTTATCTTTCAGAGTTATGATCTGAAATCTTTATATATTAAATGTGTTGATGGCTGCGCTTTTCTTCAGTATAGTAGTGCACAAGGGAAAGTGGGTACAAGTGATAATGAAACAAGAAGGGTCACTGTTGAGACTGGGTGATAGGTACCTGGTGATTTCCTTTTGTGTGTCTTGAGAATTTTCCACAATCAAAGTTATGAATGAAGAAGAAGCAGCACAAAACCTTGGTTGCGCTGACATGACCCTGTGGAATGGTTCTGTCCTTGTCCTCCTTAGGCCCTGTTGTGTTGGGTCTGTCTCACAGACAGGACTGTGGTCACAAACTGGACTGAGAAGCCACTCTGAGAATGGAGTGACCTTGTCCCTATTAATGAAACTTGACTCCTCTCTCCAGAATGCCAAGTTCACTCTCAGACTCAGCTGGGAAATAGGAATGGCTCCTTTGCAATGCTCCCCGCTTTGAGGCTCTGTCATTTTGTTGCAGGACGAGGTTCCCACACCCTGACTTAATTTGAAACAGTCTGCACTCTCTTCCCCTTCATGAAAAAGTTAGGAGATGAAGGTTTAAAGGCAGCATGTCCCCATGATTGAAGGGATGGTGTTTGAGCTCCGGAATGTGGGCGGCCGACACATGTGTGGCTGGGAGCCCGGGCAGCTCACAGGGCTTAGTACTTTGCCCAGGAGTGAAGAGATGATTGGAATATTTACTTTGAAAAGTAGCCTCCAAGGATGGGAAATGATTAATTCACCATGGGGAACTTTATATACCCTCAGGAAAGAAGGGGCCTCTTTGAGAAAATCCAACTGAACAGGCCTAGGTCTGTGTGCAGACACATGACAGCCTCCTCTCCCCCCACCTACCCTCACTGTTCGAGTGCCTCCACTGTAGTGTGCAGCAAGGACATGGCATAGGGAACAAGGAACCACGTCCATTTACCTGCTTTTCAAAAGCTGAGGGTCATCCCCCAAATTCACACGGATGTTCCCCAACAATGTGTTGCTGGGGGGAACAAATCATCAGTGTCCATGTTAAATGCCCTGACATCTAGTCCCAAATGTGGTTTCTGGTCGCCATCAAAGCTGCATGGGACCTGCCTCTCAGAGGGAACAGCCAATACCGTCTGTGTGAGCCTGAGTTGGCCAAGACTCCATTCTGTCAACACTGAAAGATTCTGAATACACTTGTTCCCTAGTCTTCCTGTCTTGTAGCATCTGGAATGAAAGTTTCTACTCTGCCCCTCTCCCAAGAACATGTTGGTGTTGTTGGTTGCCAGCAAGTTAGACCTGACTCATGGCGACTCCATGCAAAAACAAAACCAACCTTGTCCAGCACAGCACCAGCTTCAGCACCATCACCGTTGTTGGTATTCTGATTCTATTTTTATGACCACTGTGTAATTGGAGTGCCTTTCCACCTAGATTGCTCATCTTCCAACACTATCTAGGACAATATTCTGTTGTGATTTATAGGATTTTCACTGGCTAATCTTCAGAAGTTGATCACCAGAACCTTTTCTTTCTTAGCCTGAAAGCTCTGCTGAAACCTTTCTACAATGGATGACCCTGCTGCTATTTGAAATATGAATGGCATCACTTCCAGGATGATAGAAATAATCAAGTGGCCAAAGCAGGTCTAACTGACAGATGAGTGGGGGCCCAAGGCCATAAACTAGCACATATACTCCATGTGTGACCCTCTTGCTGAACTTGGACAATTAAACCACACACTAACCCTTAAACAAGAGTCAACGGCTGGAGAGGGAGCAGATGGTGCCCTAACACAAGGCAGGCTTCCTCATGTAGTGTAGGCAAGACTTCCACCTTAACCTGAGCCAACCACCATCATGCCAGAGGCTTGATACCGCAGTTTAGTCTCTGATACCGCAGCCTCCTCTCCCACCATCTCTCTTTGTAACCCCCTCTCGCCATCACACCACTGGCCCTGCCTGAGTTTGTATTGTGCCCACCAAGATAGAAAGAAAGGAGCCTCTCAGAAAGCCCTTCTTCTCCTTCCTGATGGCATAAGAGCGTCTAGAAAACCCTTCTTCTTCCTGCTGGCTGACTGCCACCTTCCCTCCAGGTCTCGGTGCAATATGCCTCACCTTGGAGCCTGTTAAAGCTCCTCCAAGTCTGGGTTTGTTGGTCTTCACCTGTGCCCTACTGAAAACACAGAACGCATTGTGCTTGTCTGCCTCCCTTCAACTCTGAACTCCTTGAGGAGAAGGGCTACATCTTTCATCTCTGTGTTTCTATTGCTTGTCACAGTGGCTGGCTCATCAGCTCTCATCGTTTGCTGAATTTATGGATGGTAGCAGAGTCACCAGCATTATGTAACTGAGGTGGCAACACTCACATTGTATTGGGGTTGGAGCGGTTGCATTCCTGTGGATATGATGTAAGTGGGCACCCAGAGCTGTGCAATGGGAAGATTTGAGTGACTGTTATTTCATATTTCTGCAGATTTAGGGTTCCTTTCAGTGGGCTCATACCCTCCTAAGATAACACACAGGTTGCATGTCCCATTGCTCAGATGAAGAAAGTCACTTGTCCAAGATCTCCAATAATGATTGTCTGTTTGTCACCACTTGCCAATCTTGGCCATGTCACTCTGCATGCTACTTCAGAGATGGGACTTTGGGTTCTGTGCTTCTAGAGCCTCTGGGAGGTTCTCTTCTTTACGCTGGGTTTCAAGGTATTAGGGAATGAGTGTTTGACGCCTTTTCTTCTATCACCAACATCTTCAAATGGTCTATTTTGTGATTTCAGTCAAAATCACCAAAATATATTTTCTGACTTTTAGTTTGCTGATTATTAAATTTCTATGTGGAAAGCAACATCAGTGATTGTTCCTATTTTTAGCTTGAAATGTCTAGGTGTAATTTTAGTAGTGTATGAAGCATATATCAAAATGTCCCCAAGTTAGAGAAACTCAACAACAATGGATTCTCAACATTAAACCATGTCTTTGTATTTCAAATCTTCAATAATACTTCAATATGTCCCTAACATATTCAAGTGTATCTCAGAAATTTCTGCTAACTCTAATTTATACCCCTTAATGCTAATATATGGAGTCCTGGTGTGGTGCTCTGGGTTAATGCGCCAGACTGCAAAGCCGTTTGAACTGCAAGGTCGGTGGTTCAAACTCACCAGCTGCTCCTTGGAAACCCTGTACAGGGTCACTATGGGTCAGAATTGACTCGATGGCACTTAACAACAACAACAACAATACTAATATACAGAGTCCTGGTGTGGCACTGTGGGTTAATGCGTCAGACTGCAAAGCCATTTGAACTGCAAGGTTGGTGGTTCAAGCTCACCAGCAGCTCCTTGGAAACCCTATACAGGGTCACTATGGGTCCGAACTGACTCGACAGCACTTAACAACAACAATGCTAATATACAGTCGCTATGAGTCAGAACCAACTTGACGGCACTTAACAACAACAACGCTAATATAGAAAGTCAGGTTGAATTAACTTTTTCTATTTTCTTTTTAGTAAATGAGTACATGTTGGAGATCTTTTTTTTCCTGCATAATAATCAAACTAACATAAAATTAACTTGCTTCATTGGTTCCTCACCCTTTAGAACCACCACGCTTCTCTGGCTTTTGCTGTTCTTGATTTGGCATGCTGCCCAGACATGAACTCAGTTGTGGGCTAGGTCATGGCAGATGAATCAAGCCTTAGAGCTTAGGTCCAGGTGAGGTGCTCTGCTCTCTGCCCACTTGGGGCCCGCACTGTAGAGATCATGATAGCTTGGCAGCCCAAGGATGCTTGACCGCTGTGAACTTTGCTTTTACAGACTCTGTTTCTGACCTTGTAGTTTTTATTATATTCCTGTGCAATTCTAACAGCTGTTTTTGTCAAGAGTCTTAATAAAACTTGAACTGCTAGATGAGCTTTATGGAAACTGGTCACAGAAGAAGTCAATTTAGCACCTGTTAAAAAACGAGAGATGAAATTGCCCTTCAGCTACTTTTCACAGTATTTTTCTTTGTTTGTGTTTTCAACTGCTACTGAGTTCATTCCAATTCATGGTAAGTCTTGTGTGCACGAGCAGAACTGTGCTCCATCAGGTTTTCAATGGCGGGTTTCCCAGAAGCCAATCAGCAGACTTTCCTTGCAAGATGCCTCTGAATATACTCAAATCTCTCACCTTTTAAACAGCAGCTATTACCCATTTGTGCTGACCAGGGATCTCACAGTAATAGCAATGACAAAATAAACGCAATAGTGTGCAGGCAGGGGGGTAGTTTTGCAACCAGTTTGTAACTAGATTCCCAAACTAGGTTTCTATGACAAGCTACCAAAATCCCAAACTAAGCCTACTGCCCTACGGTCAGTTCTGACTTATAGAAATGCCACAGACAGTCGGGCCGTTCCCTAGAATTTCTGAAACTGTACATCTTTATAGGAGCACACACCCTCCCCTTTTGCTAGCTGAGTGGCTGGTGGGTTTAATACTGCCCCCAAAGCTCCACCAGGGTTCCTAACAGACTATCATTCACACTCAGTCATCTCCTTTAGCTATACTTAGTACTATGTATTAGAAACATTTGACTACATGGCTCAAATTTGGAGGATGTGTTAAAGAATTTTACCTTTTAAGAGAGTTCATTCAAGTTTTTCGTTCTGCTGTGCATAAGGTCGCTGTGAGTCGGTACCGACTCAATGGCACCGAACAACAACAACATTCAAGTTTTTGTTTTTAATTTCACCGAGTCCTTCAATTTTATAAACTTAGTCTTAAAAGAATTCAATTTAAATACTCAGTAGCATTCATTGGTCTATGAAAGAAAATTAAGTGTCTGAGATATGATTAGCTTCTGTCTGTTATTGCATAATTATATTAAAATATTGTTCCATTCTGTTAAGCATACTAATTGGCCACAAAATTACTTCGTTCAACAGTATTTATATGAGTCAATAAAGAACTTCAAACTTTTGAAGACCTGCCTTGAGTATAATGGTTTGCCTCCACATCACACACTAGTGTTATGGAAGAATAATTCACCAACAGACCAAAACTAACCATTCATCTGTGTGGGTGTGACTTCATACAGTTCCATAAATACAAACTCTAAAAAGCAATAAAATGAAGTGTTTTACTAATCTAACTCAGGGTTGGAGAAAACAAGAAGGACCCCACAATGGGATGGATTGGCACAGTGGCAGGAGCAATGGGCTTGGTGTAGCCATGATTGTGAGGCTGGCCCAGGACCAGGTACTGTCTTGTATCATTGTGCATAGGGTCGCTATGAGTTGGTGCTGACTTGATAGCTACCTAACAACAACAACAACAAGAAGTCAGGTAACTTAGTACACTCTCAACTTCCTCCAAGATAATTGACCCTCTATGAAATATCAGTTTTTAAATTAATTTTGTCACCAAAATTAAAGTGCTTAAAAATAAATTCTTAGTGACACTGAGGTTTGCAGTTGTTTGCTGTTGCCTAGTATGCCCCTGCTCATGGTGAATGACAAGTTACAGACAAGAATTGTTCCATAGGGGTTCTTGGCTGTGATCCTTACAGAAGCTCTTTTTGTCACAAGTCACTGGGTGGGTTCGAACTACCAACCTTTGGGTTAGAAACCAATCACAAACTGCCCGTGCCACCCAGGCTCCAGCACTGAAGTTAGTTGAAATAAAATATTTATATATAAATTACACAGTATTGTTATAATTGTGTTAGCTATTTACGAATACTAAGTCTTCAGTAACAATGATTTAAACAAAGAGCTAAAATGAACAGAGTGAAATACTGTTAATTTATGGTACATGGAAGGGATTATAATCATTGTAATGAAACAAAGTGTATGATTTGTTGAATGTAAAACTGATGATCTGCCCTGTAAACTTTCACTCAATTCATAATAAAAAAATAAATTTTAAAAAGATTAGATGTGTGGACAGACACACAGGCTGAATGGATGTGAGAGGGATCCTAGGAGCACACCACGAATGCATATAGATTGGAGAGAAGGCTTTTGTACCTGGGCCTTTGTTTACCTTTGCTGCAAAAATATCTATGAATGGGGTGGAGCATACAGTGGGCAAAGTTATGAAAACTTGTTGTTGTTAAGTGCTATCAAGTCGGTTCCGACTCATGGAGACCCTGTATAGGGTTTCCGAGGCCTTAAATTTTCACAAAAGCAGAAAGTCTCATCTTTCTCCCAAGGAGTAGCTGGTGGGCTAGAACCATCAACATTGTGGCTCACAGTCCAGTGCTTATTGTATGGAGCCAAACACCTTAAGGAAATGAGTTGCTGATCCCAGGGGCTCAGGATCATACAGGTTCAGGAGACACCAAGGTCAACAAACATAACATAGTTCTCAATGACAGTGTTCTACTTTGGTGAACAGCAACCAGGGTCTTAATGGCTCATGAACAGACATATGAGGGCTAACTAATAGTCATCCCTTGTCCAGAGACAGGAAGAGTGAAGAAAATAGAAAACACATAGAAACAAGTAGTTCTCTGGACTGAAGGACCAAATAAGCATCAATCTTCACAGCCCTGAGATCAGAGAAACTAGATGATGCCCAGCTATCACTACCAACTGCTCTGAAAGGGATAATATTAGAATGTCCTGGATAGCGTGAGAGAGAAATGTGGAGCAAAACTCAAAATCATAAAAAAAGATCAGTCTTACTCAACTGATAGGAACTGGTAGACTTACTCTTCAGGTCTGGAAATGAGTTTGTTCCCAGGACTAAGTTTTCAAACAATAGACAGGCGTATAAAAGGACCGATAACACTAGAAAGCTAAGTACCCTTAGAATTACCAACCATTTGTGATCAAAAGAGCAGCATCTACCCAAGAACACAGCTCGGAAGTGTTAGGGAAGAAGGAAGGATAGAAAACAGAAACATAGCCAGGAACATCAGTCATGTTGCATTGTGGGAAATGTAATCAATGAGATGAAACAAAATGTGTAGCAATTGTTGAATGGGAAACCGATCGTCTGTTCTGTAAGCCTTCACCCAATTCACAATAAAAAGAAGGAGAATATTAAGTCGTTTCAAATGTTCATTATTTCACAAGCTCTCTGAAAACGCAGGAGCAGAAACCTAAATTTGAGCGAAGGGAGGCTCTGTGACTTTAAACAAGTCACCTCAGACTTATCTAACAAAGAATGAAGAAGGTTGAACAAAATGATGTTTAAAAGTCTTCCCAGATCTAGCACCAGGACTTTCTGAGGTGAGACAGGAACTCTAGAGAGAAATTAGTTGGTGAGTGTCATATTCCCTAGATGGGCGCTGCTGGCCTGGTGTTCTCCCTGTGGAAAAAAGCAGGTGCTTTCACCTCACTTAAAAACATGTCATTAGGTGCTGGGTCCGTCCCTCCCCAAAGCAAGTTAAAACTCACAAAGCCTTTCGTTCCCAAGTTACCACACCAAGGCAGCTTCCTTGTAAGCTGTTGAAAAGGATTTTCTAAGTAACTGCATCTGATTCTCATTTTCTTCTGTCAGAATCGATTCCAACGTAAAGGAGAGGGGAAAATATAATCACACTAAAAGGCTTTACATTTTTTACAATGACATCATAATGAAATACTCATTTCAGATGATTTAATGTTTCGTTCTTAATTATAATCCAGAGTCTGTGGATATTCCTTTCATCATTCTTGCTATTTTTCAAATAAATGGCACAATTCCAATCACTTACTTATCCTCTAATATCCTAACACCTGTGTTTCCAACAGCCTCCTTAAACTGTCATCCGGCTGGCCCAGCATCACAAAAGCGTACGTGTTTTCATCAACAAACAGTGGAGGGCGCTGTTGTCATTCGCTGTATGTCTACATACTAGCCTCTAGGGACATTTGCTTTCCTAAGGGAAAAGGGTTCCTTTCTGTAGTAATATGAACATGATGTATGATACTGAAAACAATAACTACACCAACATATTTCCCCAGAAGTTGAGAGGTTTTTTTCCCCTCAGAGTGTGAATGTAGAGCTCTTAGTTACTTGATATAAGATAAATGAGTGGATTTAAGAGAAGCATGAAAGATATTGAAAAATACTTTCAAGATGAACATGGGCTTCCCAGACCTTGTAATTCAATGATTTTGACTACTGTGTATTAGAAGTTTCATTACATTTCATTGTTCAGCAGTATAAAGATAACATAACAGCAATAAAGTATCGTGAACGGTAAGATTAACATTTGGCTACAATCAGTCTGGTGTCATCGAATATATTCTCTGACTGAGTTTCACAGAGTATGAGCCTGGAAAGAATTATACAGAGACGCATTTTTAAATAAGTTGTGACAGCGGAATATTGTTTTCAATCACTGCACTTAAGATCTGTGCGGGGCACGTCTCTACTCCCCTCCCGAAAGTCTGAACTCCAAAGACCCAATCACACACTTGCCTTTCCCACAGAAAACTTCTGCTTCTATGTAACAATACCTTCCTTCTCATTTCTCACCAACCTGATATTGCTTTGTATCACACAGGTAATTTAATAAACCAAGTTAGTAAGCATTAACATGCTTCTAGAATGCTCCAAAAACTCTAGCTCTACAAGTAAGAAAGCCTGGCTTTTAGTTCATGCATGCTTTCATGGACCCCCTAGGAGAGTTGCCAGATAAAACACAGGGCACACACTCAAATTTGAATTTCAGATTATCGACAAATAACGCTGACATCAGA